GCGTGTGGAAAGTTCATTACATATAAGGTTGACGTGGCGGGTGATTGGGTTAAATAGGAAATTAGGATTTTTGATTTGTTTAAATTCAAGATCTTAGAAAATTCATAACTTGGTGTAGAAAAATCATAAAAATAAAAGAAAAATACACAATTGCTCAGTGAACAGAGGAGAATAATGTAGAATAAAAATAAAAATTATTTGAGGAGTCTATGATTTTTAATTAATTAAATACTTTTTGGAGCATTTTAATTTTAATTAGCTAAATCATAATCATCATTGCTTGAGACTTTAGATCTTTGTTCTTCATGATATTGGAGGTATTTTGTTATTTTTCAAGCTAAATCATAATCATCATTGCTTGAGACTTTAGAGCTTTGTTCTTCATGATATTGTAGGTATCTTGTTATTTTTCCAAAGTCAGTAAACATCTCTACACATGTAACCCTAATTTCCAAGTGTAGATTTCTATTTTGCTTAAAACAATTATATAAATTAAAATATAAATCAGAAAATTATGAGACTTATTTAGGTAGGTTCCTTATGGTTAGAGGACTTTTGGAAAATTTTAAATTAAGTTTTAATATTTATGTAAATTACTATAGTTAATTAAACCCTAAAAATTTATAAAAATTAATTTAAATTTAATATATTTTAAAAATTAACAAAAACCATTCCACACTGTAAATAACACTTATTTTAACTCACTGTAAAGATTTAAAATTTATTTGATTTAATTTAAGAACTAAAATTGATTTTTCAAGTAAAATGGTATTTTTGGCATTGAAATAATTTTAATAAATTAAATATAATTGGGAAAATTATGAAAAGTGGTTTTCTTAGTTCCTTGTAATCAGTAAAACTTAGGAAAAATAAATTTTTTTTTAAATAAATAGTTCGTTTTTTTAGCCAAATAGTTCATTTTTTTAGCCTATTTTGAATAAAAAAATAATTAAAAATGATTAAAATTTTCAAAAAAAAGGAAAATGGTCCAAGATATTTCTAATTGCTTCTTGATTATTTGGGACTCACTAGAATATTTTTCCTAATTTTTCTAAGTTAAATATAAATTTTTAAAGGCAAAAAATGTATTTTCTATAATTTTTCATTAAAATAATTATAATAAATAAATTTAAAAACACAAAAAATGAAAGTGTGTCTCTTTGAGTTCTCTAGACTTAGAGAAATTTAATAAAGATATAAAAAGTAATTTTTGTAATTAAAACATATTTTCTATTTAATTAAATCATTAAAATCAAAAAATAATTTTAATAATTAAAATATAACTTTAAAAATTATAAAACTTTGTCCGAGTGGTTCTATGACCTAGGTGAACCTCCAATACTTTTCTCATGACCAAAAACTTTACTTTGATTTGTTAAATAAATTAATATCGACAATATTATTTTCTAAGTTAAAATAATTATTTAAATTAAAATAAATTTTGAAAAATCACATTTTTTCCTCTGATATTTTAATTGACCCATAAGTGGGGTACTCTAAAAATTTTAAAGCCATTTGAGTTATATTTGATAAGTTATGAAGTGGAGAGCCCTAAGGGCAAAATGGTAATTTTAAATTTTGATGCCTTAATTAAAATTTAGGATAAACCAAAGAAAAAATGTGTATATTTGATTCTAATGAACTCTTTTTTATGTTTGAAATATAATGAGTTAAGAGGTAGAAACCAATTTGCCACCTTTCCATAATAAGGGTAAAACCATGATAAGGGTAAAATTGTAATTTTATAAATTATTATGACTTGAAAGTCAATTAAAATTAGGTGATTTTAAAGTGATGAGCATACGTTAGGAATATACTAATTCACTTATTTTAAGCTCATAATTGGTGATAGTATGATTTGTTGATAAGAATATATCCCACTTAATTTAATATTTTTAATAATTGCAAATTTACCCATGAAAGTTATTAAGGGCTTCATAGTGAGCTAGCCTTGATATTTGAACTTGTTTAATGAGGTTTAGAAAAGAAAGACATGATTGATTAACATATTTAAACACTACAAGCCCAATTTTAGTGATGGGTACAAAATCTTTAATGACTTAATAAACACTACAAGCCCAATTTTAGTGATGGGTACAACATCTTTAATGACTTAAGGGCATCTACGTACATATCTCTTAAGTAAAATATCAACTGATTAATTGAGTATCTTATTCTTGGGATAATTAAAATATCAGGTTCACTGAGCATAAGGTGTATTAATTCATTGAAACTAAATTTAAAACTTGGGATGATCAATTGAACAATATAATTGGTTCAAATGAACTCGAAATATTTCAAAAGAATTTGAATGTTGTTAGGGACTGTTATCCAAACACTTTTATAATCATTTGGATATTTTGATAGACAATTGAACTTATTATCCTTTGTTCCAGAAAATCATCCATTAAAGCCTTTAGAGACACGCTAAGTTGTGACTTCAGGTTTAGTAGCTATACCTTCATCTACCCTTGCAATTTATTTAAATTCCCTGCAAAATTATATATATGTTGCAAGCTCCAACATTTCATTAGGAGCAACGAGAAGATAACAGATGCGCTTTTACAATTTTATTTATTTTTATCATTTACTACAATTTACTTTCGCTTTAAAATATTATACATGTTTGGTTGTGAACATTACTTCACCTGCAAAACAAAAAACAACTTTCCAAAATCAATCAACTTTTTCAAAATTAAAAATTAAACACCATTTTAAAAACCAAAAAAAAAAAAAAACAACTTCATAATATGTCTTAAATTTACGGGAGTCCCATCAATCAACTTTTTCAAAATTAAACAACATTTTCAGAACCAAAACAAAAAAAAACAACTTCATAATATGTCTTAAATTTACGGGAGTCCCTCGGAGGAGTTAACCATGGTTGCTAACGAGATCTCTCTAGTTTAAATGCGTTTAACAACTTGTTTAAGCCAAGTAAATTCAAAAGAAAATAGTAGTACCAGAATGAGGGAACTGCACGATCCTAACCGGTGTCGTTATAATCAAGTTTAACCCCACCATAATGATTGAACTTAAACTTGTCAATTAATGATTGAACTTAAACTTGTCATTTAAACATTTGAACCTTTAGACTTTAGGACTGCTACATCGTCGAGGAGCTTGGAGCAAACTCTGTGGCCAACCTTCTACAACAACACGAGGATCTACAACAAGAAATCTTTCCTTGGAATTAAACAACAAGTCATAGGACTTCGAGGCTATCCATCTAGTGTGACATAAATCCTCAACTTATCTTTAGGCATTTGCACAATCATGTTATTCAATATAAGTCTTAACTCGTTTTAGGATTCCGAGTTTATCGTTCGTTACGACCAAAACACTCATATCTTTCAGACTATTTGTGTGATCGTCTCACACAAATGTAAGTTCTAACTTCTAACTAAATAAAATTGGCAGGAATAAAATTGGCAGGATGAAACACTTGATAATTTCTTTCTCGAAATTGAAGCCAAATCATTGGATAGTTTAGGAAGCCACCGATGTTCTCGTCAGGATCTGTGACAGCTCCTAGTTTCCCTTTTTTTGGATTCCATAATAAATGTTCCAAATTTAAGCACTTCCCTTTTGACACTCAGTGTTTCTATCTTTGAAAAGTCCTATCCTTTGAACTTCTTAGAGACAGTATTTTCTTATTTAAATCGAGAGTTTTCTTGAGTAACTTCGATCATTTAAAATGTAATTGACTATAGGAGTTTGTCTCTATAGGGAGCTTTAAAAACCCATATAATATAAACTCTATTCAATCCTCCATATTAAGTAAGAGAAATTTGTTGTTTTATATAAATGGTTCGCGGACCAGACGGATGTCATAAATTCTATAATTTATTTAATCGTGTCTTACTATCAAGTGATGTTTTCATTCCTCAAAATAGTTGTATTACTTACGGTGTTGTGCTCGTTTATTTAAATTATTGTCTGTATGAGATCGATTTAGTCTCCTATTTTCAAAATCGAAAATATTACTTTTTCTAATTTCTAAAGTACATATATATATGAATTAAACATCCTTTAAAACCGGGCAGCAAGATACCCATTTGATGACCGACAATTTCTGAAACCACATTTTAACGTTCGACATATGCTTAGCTAGTTTAATCAAAACGACAATTAAATTAAATTTATGTTATATATGTATATGTATGAATTAAACATCCTTTAAAACCGGGCAACAGGATACCCATTTGATGACCGACAATTTCTGAAACCGCATTTTAACGTCCAACATATGCTTAGCTAGTTTAATCAAAACGATAATTAAATTAAATTTATGTTGAACTCAGCTCGTTTAGATTACTCTAGCAAGTGCATAAATATAACTTAACTCACATGTGGATATCATACTTAAAAGAAAAATAATGAGTTCATCTAAACATTTATCTGAAATTTTTATGATAGATATCAAACTACTTGACTCCACTTAGAAGAAGCACCAATCAACAAGATGATAAATAAATCATGAATAAGTTATTTTATGATCATATAACATAAATGTGCCAACAAACTTATTGAAATAGAAAGATAAAATAAATTCCTCAAAGAAACAAGTTTTGAAACAAGCATAAATATTTCAAAAAACCAAATATTATATTCAATAACAAAACCAAATATTTTACTTAATTTTAAGAAAAAAATAAGGCCAAAATTAAAGTAATCATCAATATCTACTAAAATAAATAATTAATATAAATTATATTTAAATAAATTTAATATTATTAGTCGAAAAACAAATAAATTGTCTGTCAATGTAAATAGGCAAAGTTGAATCTTGCTCAAAGTTAAAACATTTAAACTGCAAGTTTTAAGAAAAAACATGCATGCTTCACTTTCAAAAAAATATACCAAATCAAAATGACAAGTTAGTTAATTTTAACAACATTAAGCTACAAAAAATCATATTTTTGTTTACTTAAAAAAACATGATTAGGAATATATAATATATTACTATGAAATAAAATTTAATTAAGTATATTTTACAATATAAGTATTAAGCTTCTAATAAATTATTTGTTCAACAAAAAAAAAATTGAAATACATTAGTTAACTTCCACCCTTATTCAATAATGTAATTAAAGCAATAATATGATTTCTTAACCTCTAGACTGGAAATGATTGCTCACCTTCACCTTCAAAGGCTCATAAATGACAGCATTTACAGCACCCATCATTTCATCAGGCGATGTGAATCCATCATTTTTACGATAAAAAAAATGCAGTATTTTGCTCATCTTCCAAAATAATTCTTTGCATGCTCTAGGAAGCAAGCTTCCCTCATTTTGGAGGACCAGCCCCAGCAGTTCAGCCCTGGTGGAGTCTATCATACGCCAAGCATCTCTTCTGACATCTTCTTCAGAAACAGAGCCATTTCCATGAAGAACAAGGAGTGACAAGCTGTTTAGTTTCCCTTGTGCTTTGTCTCTCTGTAATTGCATCAAAGCTCTCAGCACAAGATAAGCAGTGCTATAGGAAAAGAATCATCAAATATCAACAATGCAAGCGACATTAATAAGGAATGCATTCGTTAGGGGGTGTTCGGTACATACTATTTACATGATTTAGTCGTGGATTTAACTTGAATCCAGCCAAATATTCAAAAAATAAAAAAATTAAATATAATGCTCTATTAAATCAAATTTTCTCTTGTTCTGTCTCTATTCCACGCGTTCCGTTTATTTTATGACATAAATCCGGAGTTATTAAATTCAATTACGGGGTGGATTTATGGGATTTGCTCAGTCATCGCTCATCGTCACTCACGAGGTCAATCTCCGTCTACAGAGGGTTTGATAAATTCGAATTCACTGGATTTGATAAGTCCTATTTAACATGAATCAAGCAGTGGCCAAACACTGCCTTAGACTGGTCAATAAAGCTTACAAAATTTGGTTAAAATGTGCTTTATAATCGAATTAATTCTACTTTCAGGTCTGAAGTATACTATTTTTCCGTCACTTTCCTCTTGTATATGCATGTCGCAGCCAAACACTGCCTTAGACTGATCAATAAAGCTTACAAAATTTGGTTAAAATGCGCTTTATAATAGGATTAAATCTACTTTCAGGTCTGAAATAAACTATCTTGGCTTCACATTCCTTTGTATACGCATGAATATTCAAAAGCCAAAATCTACTCCTCCAATCATTCAGAACTTAGGTGCAAGCAAAGGTTTATTCTATTATTTTTAGTAACTAATAAAAAATGTAAAGCACATCTCAGCATACATGGAAGCCTACATCCATCTGTCGAATTCTCATCCCATCTCGATGAAATATTATGTGCAGATAGGGTAGATGCAGATTTAGTGGTATTGCGGTGGTACTCACCACAATACCACCAATCCACATGTGTGTTATCTGCACGTAATATTCGCTCTCCCATCTCCGGCTCTTTCATCCTGCTGTACAGCATAGTACAGATCTCTTGTGCGGAAATGCCAATCTCATCCTGATATACTATTTAGGTTTTCATGGTACTGGATTCTTTGCTTATGAGAACTAAGCAACAGATGTAGCTGGCTAATTTCGGTTCAAGTAGGAGAACTTTTCATTCATGGTAGAGAGAAGCCTACAGCAGATGAAAACATGAGAGTAACTGCAATGGTAATGATGTCTTTTTTTTCACATCTAGCCTTTTTCTTCACAATATATGATTACATTATGTTTCAATCATTAACATATATAAAATTGTTTTATCATTACACTAAAAAGTGAATACATAGAAAGAACACGCCGGATATTACCAATGAATTATCAACAAATTTTTTATCAGTAAACAACTTATTACCAACAGTTTTTTGCATGCAAGAAAATCAATTAGCAGCATGGATAAACATCCAGCTTAATTCGATTTCATATTTTAAAGCATAAAAATGCGGCTCGTCCCTTTTTTCGTTTCATATTTTGAATCCACTAAGTGCGACAAACATACAAAAAATAGGGAGTTGAATCTAACAATTCCCTAAATCTATTTTTTTTTCAACCGTAATGTAAATCCTATATTTTTTAAATCCGGTCGATAGGCAAATTTAACATATTTAAGAGGAAAGGCATCATCGCTTCTCTCATAGCATAGGAGGAAAAGACACAATCGCCAAAGATCGCAAACGGACTTAACTGGATCATGCCAGAAAATTGATGGTTTTGATAAATCCTTATTTATAGGATTTACAAAATCCTATTTAACTTAAATTCTCAGTGTAGCCAAACACCTTCTAAATTTCATAAATGATATTAAAAAATATTTGGCTTTGAGTTTGATAATTAGTAGCCATCAAACTATGGATATATTTTTTCATGTGGTTAAAATGATGGTTGCTAATTTAATACTGAGCATTGTAATACAAAGGCCTGTACATCAAATAAATAAATGTCGAGGCATTTTTCCTAAATTGTGATTTGGATGAAGACAATTATATGATGCAATCTGAATGCTTTATTGAAATAAGAAAAGATAGTCCCATATGTTGTCTGACCAAAAAATGTTTTTTTTTTTAATCTAAGCAAAAAAGTTTTATGGCTTAAAACAAGCGCCTCATTGATAGTATTGAATTTTTGATAGGTTCATTCACACGATTGAAGTTTGTAGATAGCCAAAAAAAATTTTGGAAATAAAATAGATCGCAATAATGCCACAGATGTCTGTCTCAACATAATATATTAAAAAGGTGTTAGATGAATTTAAAATGAACAAGTCAAAGGATGTAAGTATAATGCTCTCACTATGTCTTGGTCTATAAATTTTTTATGACTTTTATCTGTACATAAGGGGTAAAACTAGGTACATCTGTACTATTGGTGTGATATACTCACTTGGTTGTTATAACTGTAAAAGTAGTAACACTATCACGTGAAAAATTGAATATGTAACCATAGCTAAAACCAATGAGGATATGTTTTGGATCAAAAACTTTCTGTAAGAATTGGGCTTGTCATAATAAGTTATCACACTTATTTGTTAAAGATAAAAGTCATTCATTTAGCAAAAAAATACAACCTTCCACTCTTTAGATAAAGCACATACAATTCAAATTTCAAAGCATCCATATTTCACCTAAAGTTGATATCATAACGCTCACAAAAAGCAGCACTCGTAAAAAAACTGTGGTTTTGCAAAGACGCAGTTAAGCTTAGCAAATGATGATATAGTGATGTCGCATAGAAGAGATTTCATAAACAAATCACTAAGTAGGTAAATTAAAAATTCTATCTTCAAGTGTGAGACTATTAAACTTATAAGAAAATGATTGAGATATCATAGTCATTGCAATTATTGGACTGATATTTGAAAGATATTGTTAAATTTTTTATGTGCTATAAAATATTTCATTTTTAAAGACTTGTTGTAATATCTAAAAAGATCTTGTAATTAATTATATGTTTTCAAGTGCATGCCTTATAATCACTAAAAATAGCCTTAGAATGAGGGTTTAGCACCTCATAATAGCACGAAAATAGATATAAGAGAGATAAAGGAGAGATGACTTGCCATTCGATAAAGAAATTTAGATGTTCATCTTCTTCAATGTAGAAGTCCAGCTATTTTTCATTCTAGCAGAAGTTTTTTATCATAATAGAGAAACTCTCATTTAGACTGCTTTATCAGAAAATGAAAGAGAGCAACTACAACATACACGTAGGTAAGGATGTGGACGAGTCTCACTGGACCATATAAATTTTATGCGCATGTGTTTGTAAATTTAATAAGTTTCTCAATTCTATATGTTTTGCTCATTGCTACTTGTATCCTAGTAGGTGTTTCCTCTGCATGGTTTTTATTGAATGAGACCCTCGATATTTGAGGTATGTCATCTACTTACTATATAAACATATTTTCCATCCGTGAAAGCTCTTAGTGTTGTTGTGGAGTAAATTTCTATTCAAATTTGATTACAATATTACTACAACAAAAATTTGTTAAAAGCTCTGCCCGCCCACTAAATGTTAAAGAACACAAGTCATTATGTTCTTACTTATCATCACATACCTACCAACCATATATTTATTAAATGAGATGATTTCATAGTATTGCAGGGCATCTCTCAATCTTCTTTATACAACTTAATGCAGAGACAGAGACCGAAGATGGCTAGTGACTTGATTAGAGGCTTGTGGTTAACTTGGTCGGTATTATGTAGAGGAATTTCAATGTGGGTAATCAGTGACAAGCATTAAAGGTTAGAGGTGATTGTTAAAAGATGAAGACTTTTGACATAAGAAATTTGATGATTATCACAAATGTAAGTAGCTGAAAAGATGGTCCAAAATAGGAGACAATGGGTTTTTCTATATCATTTATAACCATGATGAATGCGAGATAGTTGAAGGTTATGAGAAGAGTTGAAAGCAAGTTTAAGGAGAAAATGATTCTTTACACACACACATATATATATATTCGTTTTCACAATGGCGTCGTCTGTTCTGATTTCACTTTGCTAGGGTTTCGCCATTATGGCGAAACCTGGTATCTCTTCGTCGATTTGCTCTTCAGCGTATCTCCCTTCTCTGCTGTGCCTCGTCTGCATCATGCGGCGTCGACTCGTCGCGCATCGTTTGGCTCAAAGAAGAAGAGGTGTCGTGCAACGTCGCTTCTTCGTCGCGCGTTTGTCAACTGCGCCTCCTGCGGCTCCATCGCCCTGTAGCTTGTCATTGTTCAACTTCCATGGCTACTTCTCCTTCTCAACCACCGACTACTTTAGTTTTAAACCTTAGGAAGACATATTTTGCTGATATGGTTGGTTTTATGGGATCAGATTAGGTTTTCCCTCATGTTTACTATGAATCATTTGAAGGCCAGGAGGACAGCAACCTTATCAAGAAGACGGATAGGAAAAGTGGCAAACTGACTATATTTTTCTCTAATGTTAAAGTTTCCAACCTGGTTAACAAGTTCAAATTCACACTCATTGGGAAGTTCCAATCGTGGCATCCCAAAATGGAGATCGTTCGAAAGGCTTTTGAAGATCTCAAACTATTGGGACTTTGGAAGGTTGGCCTATTTGATGGGAGACATGTGATGATACAATTATCTAAAGTGAAAGACTATGCCAAAATATTTTCCAAAAAGTTTATGACAATAGAGGGAAAATATATGAAATTACTTAAGTGGTCTCCTGAATTCGACCCTAGTCAAGAACCGCCTATAGTTCCAATCTGGTTTAAACTACCTGGCCTAAAGTTGCACTACTTCAACCACCAAGTCCTCTATTCTATTGGAGCTACTCTAGAGAGACCTATGAAATTGGATGCACCCACCTTCAATCTAACCAGAATTCGGTTGCAAGAATTCTTGTTGAAAGGGATATCACATTCTCTGATGTGGCCGAAATATGACTTGGTACTGCTCATAATGGGTATTGGCAACCAATTATGGCAAAACAAAGACCCTACTAATGAAATCACTGTAAACTGTTTGAGCACACCCCTGTCAAATTCTTCAGTCTTCACCCACATTTAAGATCGACAGGTCCTAACAACATCACCAACCAGACCAGCAGCTTCCGCTTATTGTTGTTGAGACAGCTCTTCCTCGGATTACAATACTATGAATTTTGTCTTGGAACCACTTATTGCGAGAGAAGAGAGTACTCAAGTTATGGAGAAGTGTCAAGGTCAAGGTGTGCTGCAGGCGGAGTCAGATCAGCAATTTATCTCCATCGAAGATTCACCTAATGTTCACACGGGACTACCTCTGACAAATGATTGACAGGTTTATAAATCTAAGAAAAAAAAAGAAATGTATGATCTCAGTAACTCTCAAAATGACTGTATCATTGTTTCGGGCAGAAGCCCACATCTTAGTATGTTGCTGGATTCCCTCCCTGAATCCAAGGGAAGGGGAAGAGGTTTATCCACCGACTACACCCACCATGATTAGGAGTTCTTTCTTGTTGTTTTATTTTTAGGGAATACGTTTGTAATCCCTGCGAGAGAGCTCTTTATATCCACTCACTAAAACCTTTTGTATCCTCTCTTTTTATCAATGAATTTTCTTTTATATATTCATTATTTTCTAAGGTTTGAATTTTGATGGAATAAATTTAAGAAAGTACAATAGAAATAGAGGGGAATGGGGAAAGTGAAAAAGAACAATTCTAATGAGACATTAAGAGAGTGAAAGATAATGGAAGTAATATTTGTGTTATGTATTGTTTTCGAAATAGTGAAATTATCTATGTGGGCATAGATATAAGCAAATATAGATGAACCAATAAGTCATTGTCATATATTTTTAAATGTTTTCTGCAATCATTTTTCTTGCTATAATGTTTCATTACTCTCGCCGGTGAACTTTTTTCCCAACATCTTTGAAGGACCGACGACAATTATACTTATAATAAGCCATGTTCTCTGATGGATAAATAGTACCAAAGGATAGTACTTGCATATGACCCAATCATAAAATTTCAACTAATTTATATATTCAAATTATATCTATAATATATTCAAAATGTTACATTTTTTTGCATTCACTTTACAACATTTTTATGTGTCCAAGCTTCATATCAATTAGTTGTAAAAAGCTTTTCTTATTCAAAGTAAATGTTGATGAAATTACTTTATTTTTAGTTCATTTTTTCATATCTCTGCTACAAAGTAACTGAAAGGCTAAATATAATGGTTGCTTATGCGGGTCACTATCCTCTATCATCCCAAGCACTACCAATTGGAAACAGAATAATACAAGAAATCATTTTGAGGAATACCCAGCCCAAATAAGCGCCGAGCCTAAGCAAAGAAGAATATTTTAAGTTTATTGTTCTCACTATGGGCCCACAAATTTTGCCTAAAACAATTCTGGACCTCTTATATGAAGGTAGCACGGCCAGGAGCTAAACTTAAAAATTTTAGAACACATGTTAAAAATATATTAGCCATTTGGGCTAGTCTTTTATGGCTCATCATTGTTTGCTATCTTATTCATCAATTCTTTCTTTTAAGCCCAAATCTAAGTCCAGGAATTTTGTTGAAATACGCCCATATTAGTTCAACGTTGGAACCACAGTGACTCTTATTGATTGGATTTAAGAGACTAGCTTTGCCAATGAAGCAATTTTTTTCTTAATTGAGCTCTATTAAACAAGTCCACTAGGAGGAAGAGGTTCAGTCAGCTGAATGACTCAGAGCAATATAATCCAAAAAGAAACTCTAATTGTGTACCATCATTTGACTGACCATTTCAGCCAGCCAAAAACCTTCAAAAAATCATCTCTTTATATTGAGAACAAAATTGTCATTCAGAAGAAACATCTTACCTCAAAACCTTGAATGTCATTAGAAAGACGACCCACTTTGCTGACAAGTTCATATAATTTGTAGTAATCTGAATGCGTGATGATGTTCTCTGAAAGCTCTGGCCCAACAAAATAGAGGGAAGGTAGAATAATGGGTCCTAAAGCAAACGACGGAATTGCATGCGTCATGTATTCATCCAAAGAAGGCACTATATTGTTCTTTAGCCAGTCAGCCTCTTTCATCATGGAGTTCATCATAGTTAGCCACTATCAATTGCAACATGTCAAATAATTCTGATAAAATAATCAAAAACAAGAAGTATAGGAAAAAAAGCTAAATAGGACAATAATATTTGTTCAAATAGGTTTGTGAAGGAGGTAGCATAAGAGAATTTATGTGTACGAAAGGATCATAACAGCATGAATCTTGAAGAAAAATGGAGAAACACGACAAATAGGAGGGCCCAACGGTCAAAATATACAGAGATCTAGTCAAACATTGATTTACTTATTGGAATAAAAGTTAGTGTCAATTAAAGAGAGAAGCATCCCAACTTTCCAATAAGTAAATCCCCTCAGTGGTCGAACCGACAAACATAACAGGCCGGATGAGGAATAGTTGGGTACATGGCCAAATAAAGGAGGGCTATGTATCTAGCCGAGGGAAGGACGGTTCTACGCCAAGCCGAACAAAAGACCACCCATCGCCAAACGAATGAGTCGAAGACTGAGGAAAAGTCAAGGATAAGTTCGATCGAGAAGTCTTTACGTTATTGACATGCAATTCAGCCCGTCATGACCGAACGAATGAACATGTGCCAATGACCGAAAGTCATCATGATCGGCCATGAAATTCACTATTAACATATTTACATAAATTATACAAATGACCTCAATACCATTAAATTTCTTTGTATAGAAGGGGGTTTTAAATGTAATTATGTGCTTTGGATATCTCCTATACCTATAAATACGAGACTATTTCATGAAGAAAAGGCTCCGGATACTATCATTTTTACAGTTCATTTCCTCCCTATACAGTCTATTCCTTGGGTGTTATTTCCAGAATAATTTAGGATTCAACATCCTAAAAGGTGCGTTGGAATCATGTCACGAACAAAAAGAGGAGCATAGAGCAGGGAAAAAAACTACCGTTCAGGAAACATGGAGCCAAGCAATGGATGTAGATAGCACAAGGGAGATTGTGCGGCAACAAATGATGGAGATGAAAGAATAGTTGATGTTAGAAATGAGAGAACAGATGGTAGGCACTTTTTAAGAAGCTCTAGCCAGAGAAATTCAAAACTCACACTGTCAAAGCCCCCAGAAATATAGTCGCCAAGAGCTCGATCATCGGGATGGACCAGCGATCAGTGACAGGCAAGATGGACTGGTACCCAACGGTTGAAAATCCCAACAAATAGAAGAAAGAGGTGAGGATTCCCCATTACCAAAATAGCGTCGGATCTGCCCCAATGGAAAGACATCACATTATGCAAACCATAGCCCTCCGTCAAGCCGAAAAAGCATTTTCTCAACAAATCTCTGACGCCAAACCTCCAGAGAAATTCAAACCCCCCAATCTTCAATATACCGACCTAATCATACATGGAGTCGTTTTCGAGTCGGCAATCGATATATCATGTAGCTGTTTTCGAGTCAGCAATCGGTATATTGAAGATTACTGATGCATTCAAGTGTCGTTTGTTCCTTATCACATTGAAGGAATCGGCCCTCAAGTAGTTTAACGCCCTCCTGGTGGGGATTCATCCCCTCCTTCAAGTTCAAAAAGACTACTCGTGGCTCACTTTGTCAGCGCACAGAAGCCACCAAAGAAGTCCCAAGCTCCGTTGTAGATCAAACAAATGATGTGAGACCCTGATCCCGCTATGAAAGAACAATTGATTGTACGACAACAAGTGATGTGAGACCCTTCACTCGTATATCACAAGGTTCCAGCGGGAAATGCTGGAAATTCAGAACCTAAAGCCCTTGATCGCGCAAACCGCCCTGACATAAGGACTAAAAAATGAACATTTCAAGTACACCTTAGGCCTATGCAAGCCAAAATCAATGGCCAAGCTACTAGAAATGGCCAACCATCATATTGCCACGGAGGAATACGTCCTCAACTATCGAGAAGAAGTCCGAAAAGCAGTCGTCGATGCCCAATCACAAAAGAGAGCATCGACAGATGACGGTTGAATAGAGAAAGACGGCCTTAAACCTCCAACTCGTCTTCATTATGAAAACAACCAACCACACCATGAAAATAATGGGAACACTAAAGCCAGCAATTGAAATAGACGGCCTCGATACCCTCATCAACGGTCGACCCACCACAACAAATGACAGGACTACTCAAAATGACGCCCCTAAGAATCTCGATAGTCAAACTAGTAGAGGTCATCCAAGATAAAGAATACTTCAAACAAACTCAGCGAATGAGGGTCGAAAGTTCGGCTTGAAATCCGAACAAATTCTGCGCCTACCAGAGGGATCACAACAATAACACAGAAGAATGCAGACACCTCAAGAGTCTTGTTGAGGACTTGATCAAGGCTGGAAAGCTGAAAGAGATTGTAGCCGCTGAAACAGCCACTCGCAGACAGGGGAAGGCCGCAGTAGACTGAGCATCCGATGAACCTGTTCGAGCAAACACCATCCCAATCGCAATAATAATACCAGCAAGACTTGGAGAATTGTGCGTCACACGACGAGCAACTTATCCCCCCATCATGTTCACCGATGAAGACATACCGGCAAAAGGTAATCTCTATAACGATGCAAATTTCATTATGGTTTTGATTAACAATTATCAGATAGGAATCATAATAATCGACACCGAGCGCTCAATAAATATCCTGTTCAAAGCGGTATTCGACAAGCTTAACGAGGAGACACAATAGATGGTGGCGCCTTCCAAATCCCTTTACGGGTTCTCAAGAGAAAGGAATGAGGCCCTCAGTGTGATCTTTTTTACAATCACCTAGGGATACAAAAACAAAGAATTTGCAAAGACCAAGGATTTCTTGGTGGTCAACTCCCCGCCTACATATAATGTCATCTTCAATCAGCCATTGCTAAAAAACTTTCGAGCGATGGCCTCCACCTATCATGTAGCTGTAAAATTCCTGGAAGACTAGGAGATCATTACCATTCGAACCACCCAAGCAGAACAAAAAGACCCACGACTCTTGGCAGATTTTTCGAACTACTTGTCGGCCATTATTTTTTTTGAAAAGGAAAGGAATGATTTTTGTAAATATGAAACTAGTTTTAATATAAATATTAGTTTTGAAAGTAACATTTTAATTTAAAAATAGACGAGACCAAACGAGTCTCACATATTAAATAGTTTGAACGGTTGAGCGTGATACCACAAGTAATACACTATCTCGAAGGATAAACATACCACTTAACAGTAGGCTCAACCACCTAAATTAAGAAGTTTGTGACATCTGTTTGGTCTGCAAAACCTTTTATGTATGACCGACAAGTTCCCCTACCTAATATAAGGATTAGATAAGATTTTTGCCTAGGTTCCAGGTTCCCTATAGAGGCAAGCCCCTATAGTTAATTGCATCTTAAATGACTAGGGTCACTTATAAAGACTCTCGATTAAGATCAGTGATTTTGCCTTTCAGATTTCAAAGTTTGGGTTTCCAAGATTAGACACGGGATAATCAAATGGGAATTGCTCAAATGGGAACCGTTATTTTAAGGAATCCAAATGAATAACGAGTAGGGGATATCACATATCCAGGAGAAACCCTGGTGATTTCTCAACTATCCTATTCTTTGGTTTTATGTCTTTGAAATGATGTTATCCAATATTTAATCCTGCAATTTATTTTTAGAATTTAGGACTTACATTCGCACGATTTCTGATCATGCAAATAACCTAAAAAGATAGGAGGATTTACACTGTACCGTACAGTCACCTCGGAATCCTAAAAGTGTTCGGACTTATAATTGCACTAAGAGTTATGCAAAAAACTAAAGATAAGGTGAGGATTTATGTTGCGCTAAGCAAACCACCTCGAAGTCCTATGACTTGTTATTTAAACTAAGGAAAATGTTTAGTTGTCATAGACTTATTGTACTGTTGTAGATCGTCATCCTCCATCTGCTACATCCTGGTCGTGCTGCCCACGAAGACTTGCTCCATGTCCCATGTAGTAACAATTTCAAGTTTAGTGTCTTATATGTGAATGTGCAATATTGTTATTTGGTGGCTTACTGTTGTATATCTCCTAAATCAAGTTATATCCTAATGATTTTGTAGTTAACTTAAAGCATACATAAACAAACTATGTTATAAGGAAGAACAGTAAATGAAAACAATATAAAGTGTGGTAAATAAAAACAGTATAAGAAAACGCAGAAAAGTGCTATACATGTAATATAAAATTTGGGTACCTAATTTTTCTTGTTATTAGTGCACCTGTAAATGGGATCAACATCGCAAGTAACAGTATAATATACAAATTCAGCTAGCCGGACAAACATGTGTTTATGTATAACATAATAAATGATGGAGTAGCACATGGAAAGCCCTGAGGAAAAGTGAAATCGACCCACAAAGACTCGAAACAAATCGTAAGAAAAAGACACAAACAAATAAAACAAAACACAATGTCACATATAAAGGACCAAGGGTGGGAGATTTATATGTGGCATTGGGAATAACCCCAATTGCTAGGAGGATTTGAGTGTAAGGCTCAAGCTCAAATCCTGAAGCATTGGGTTTTATTTTAGATCAAGTTATGATGAGAATTTCACTATTTGATTTAATTAAATCAATCATAAACCACAGTCTAGTGCATTTCCTGTTCATTGTTTTAACTAACTTATGAATTAGGGTCAGGTGCCTAGTTTCAGTGTTCATTTGAAAATTAGGTAGATAAACTCTCACCTAAAGTGTGCTCCTAAAATCTAGGAAGCCTACACTTTAACTTGAGTTTGAAGTGCCTTAAAGTGTTCTACCCTCAATTAAGTATTTTCCAACTAATCCTCAAATATATTTATAGCAAACTTAGCTCACTATCAGACTCTTAAGACATAAGAGGATAAACCTATAATTTTGACAAAAAAGGTTCGTGAAATGTGTTTCAATCCTAATCAAAACAATTGGGCTTAAGTCTATCCAATGCTTAGGGATCCTAATTGATAGCCTATTGATCTCTCAATTTATGCCCCTAACTCGTGAATCATTTAAGCTCTTACTTTCTCCCAATTGCAATTTTATCTTTCTTATGTAAAAG